ATGGTAATATAACGGGTAGCTGCACTGTGGAACAATCGCTTTTTAAAAACATTAACTTCATCACACCGAACCGTAATCGGTAAAATATGATGTAAGGCTAAATAAATTCAACTATTACAGTACTAACAATGTGTTGTGAAGTCTTGCTAGGAAGCTCTTTATTTATGAACCAGACAGTTAACAGATGTCAAAAAAATATAAATCCCGGCTTTGTTCTGGAAGAAATAAGTCCTGCAGTCTAACTTTAGCCTAAACTTAAAAACTATATCAATCTACGTCCATAAGTTTAGTTGTAAACAAAGTGAATTGAGTTTGATCTAATGTCAACAGATAGCACCACCGTTCCCAAACTTTAGCCCTTAACTAGGCTATACTTAAGTGACGCACTTTCCAAATATTCTGAGACGTATTTGACACCTCAAATGTTAAAATCCGTCAAGCCGATTGAGTTAGGCTGCCCTTTACTTTAGGTCCTACACTCATTCAAATGAAAATTTCGATCGATATATAGATTATTCGATATATCGTTTGGTTAGTTAGGTTAGGTTAACCTTACCTATAACCAAACGATATATCGAATAATCTATATATCGATCCGATATTTTCATTTGAATGAGTGTAGGACCTAAAGTAAAGTGCAGCCTTGTTCTTTCCTATGCAAACCTGGTTTACCTCACCTGTGTACTTGATACTGCTGTGCTGTAGTCTGCCCGATGACTAAAATATGCCTGAAGAAACCGAAATGGATTTGTGGTATATTTTGTACCAGCTCTACTAGCCATTCTCACAGTGCAAAATAAGATTCGGATACTGAAGTCTTAATGCTGAAAACAATAAACTAAATTAAAATAAAAACGTAAGCTGTCAAAGCTAACTTTATTTATTTAAATTGATGTGTGAACGAGACAAACCTACGTTTCGCAAAAATTGCACCGGTAACTTATCGGTCTATTTCACTCTTCATTCTATTAAAGACTTAGGTTATCTTTGACATCAAGTAGGCTACAAGAATCTTAATTCACACCAGCTAAAACAATCAACAAATAGCCTACGGTAAACAAATAAAAAAAAACAACAAAATAATACCATAAAAGGCGTACCAGTGAGATTTTGACTTTTTGAAGGTTATTTTTTTAAACGAATGAACCGAGCAGAACCAAACCAATGACAGCTGATAACGTTGCCAATGGACCAGCCCAGCCTGCAGAGAGCGAGAGCAGACTGCAGGCAGAGCGAGAGCACTGAGCAGAGCAGAGCAGCAGGAGCAGACCGGAGCAGACAGACCAGAACAGTAGACTTCCCATCCTATGGAACAGCTGAAGCCAATTTTATTGTTAGTTCTGTCCGGTTTTCTGTAGATGTCGGATGTCGTGTTTTGTTTTCAATTTGTTTCTATCACTGTAGGGTTAAGGGTTAGTTTAGTTTCTCATTATTTGCGTCTCACTGTTTAATTATATGGGTTGTGGACGAGTTATTGTTTACGATTAGATAGTTTTATTTGGTTAAATGAGGTTTTAAATTACTGAAATATAACAAAACACGACATCTACAGAAAACCGGACGGAACTAACAATAAAATTGACTTTAGCTGTTCCATAATAAGGATGGGAAATCTACTAAGGGACTATGTTTTATCACAGATAAAACAGACTGTATGGTTTTATTTATACCAGAACGTCCAGAAACTAGCGGCTAGTCCCTGCCCACCAAATCTGTTCAAAAGCGAAACTTCTACTTACCCTCCCTCCAGCTGAATTTTTATTCCAGGATTAATTTTGCCATCAGTGTCATTTGGAGGCTTCTGATTAACTATAATGCAGGTTTACTAATTGAAAAATTAGTTTTGTTCATAAAATAAAACTATAAATGCCTCAAATTCAGTTTTATAATTTTTTTATGAAATTAAACTGTCATAACCTAACCAAACCAACCAAACGTGCTGATAATGAAAAAATCCAATGAAGGTTTATTAATCGAACAAATAGTTCTGTTCATAAAATAAAATTATAAATGCCTCAAATTCAATTTTAATTATAAAATTAAACTGTCATAAACTAACCAAACTAACCAGACTTGCTGATAATGAAAAATTAAATGAAGGTATAGTTCCTGTTCATAAAATAAAAGTATAAATGGCTCAAATTTAATTTTATAATGTTTTAATTATAAAATTAAACTGTCATAACCTAACCAAACCAACCAAACTTGCTAATAATGAAAAAAATTCGAGACAAAAATATAGTGCCTCGGGTGAGATTCGAACCCGGCTCCTTCAGACTATCAGCCCGGCACTCTATCCACTATACCACCGGGGCCGATGGCATCATGCCGTATCGTTGCGGTAATGGTGTTCCCTCAGCCAATCAGAACAGCTGGAGGGTAGAAGTTTCGCTCCCGAACAGATTTGCTGGGCAGGGACTAGCCGCTAGTCGTCCACTGGGGAGTATAATTGGTCCAACGTTGTAAAACAGTTCGTTTGGTCCAAAATCGTTTTATCCTCCGGTTGGGGAGTATTTCATTTGGCCCAAAATCGTTTGGTCCAACACTCTAATACGAGTTTGTTTGGTCCAACAGAGTATGAACTATTGCATCCCTCACATTGAAGGCGTTCAAATAATCGCTGTCACGTCGTCAACCCAACCGCCTGTGAGGCCTATTTATTGTTTTGTGTTATGTTTCTAAATAATTTATATGTTTGCATTTATATACACGCACATATACATCAATAGTATTTAAATAACTTGAATCAAACGTATTTAAATAACATTAGGTTTAACGAGTACCTAGGTTTGCTGCTACATCGAAACTAATAAATTGTGTTTTTTAGTAAAATATTAATAGCTTTAGTATAAAATAAAACAATTTGCCAAGTTTGATCAAAAATATATCCAAAAACAAGCAAACTACGACATTTTTCAATATTCTCCATAAGATTAACATGGAAATTTTAAATTTACAATTTTTAAATTTTCTCCGTTAACAAAAACCGTAAAAAAAACACTTTGATATACTAAATTATTTGTTTTTTAAGCTCTTTAAAAAGGTCTAGGGATAAATTGGGAAGTTCTGTGTTTTGAGGGTCACAAATGAGAAAAAAAGTTTTGCCCCATAAAACCACTAGCGTCTAGACTGCCAGTGCAACTCCGAGGAACGAGGATCAGATCACCCCCCACCACCGCACCATGTCTTACGCTTCCGTTCCGAATCATGCCGGCACATCAGCATAGTTTAACTCTTCGCGGAAAATTGTTATCTCTATCACTGTCGCTGTCAAAACATATCGTTTATAGGTCAAATTTCAATTAAAAATAATTGAACTGTCATAACCTAACCAAACTAACCAAACTTGTTGGTAATGAAAAACTCGAATGAAGGTTTACTAATCGAAAAAATAGTTCTGTTCTAAAAATAAAATTATAAGTGTCTCAAATTCAATTTTATAATTTTAATGATAAAATTAAACTGTCATAACATAACCAAACCAACCAAACTTGCTGATATGAAAAAATTGTTGACAAAAAGTTAGTGCAACCAAATAGTTCTGTTCTAAAAATAAAATTATAAATGTCTCAAATTCAGTTTTATAATTTTTAAATTATAACCTAACCAAACCAACCAAACTTGCTGATATGAAAAAAAATGTTGACAAAAAGTTAGTGCTATCAACGGGATTCGAACCCGGCACCTTTCGATTATCAGCCCGACACGCTATCCACTACACCACCAAGGCTCATGACAATGCTCCGTATCGTTGCGGTAATGGTTGACGTCACGCCATCGGCACGGAGCGGTGGTGGGGGGGGGGGGGGTTTCAGGGTACTTTCCTGTTAAAGGGAACATTCATTATTATCGATGATTTATTTTCGATATATCGATATTTTTGTTTTCCATCCGATATATTGATAGTAACAAATTGAAACATATCAGCTGACAAGTACGATATAGGATACAGTAAATAAATATTGTTCCGTGTCAACAAACAATGTAAAAAAATATTATATTGAAATGAAACTGTTCTAAACTAACCTAACCAACCAAACTTGCTGTAACAATTCAAAATTCCGTTTGATAGCCTATTCCCCATATTGCTTCTTCTGTTACCAAATAAATGGAATATTGAAACGGTAACTTAGCCTATACAGCAAGTTTGGTTAGTTATGTTAGGTTAGTTTAGAATAGTTTCATGTCCTAATCAATATATAGGCCAAATATATATATATATATAGCCAATATATAGGCTATTATTTTTGCCTAAACAAGGTTGGTTCTTAATTTGTAATTTAAATGCGTATGAAGTAATTAAAACCAAATATCGTGAAGCACCAATCGTGAAGTAAAACAAAAATATCGATATATCGAAAATAAATCATCGATAATAATGAATGTTCCCTTTAACAGGAAAGTACCGGTTTCAGATCTGATCCTCTTTCCTCGGAGTTGCACTGGCTGCCTAGATGCTTATCATAAACCCCCGTTCCCATTGTCCGATCATGCTGGTTCGCGAACTCATATAAGTTTATCCTGCCTGACACATTTAACACACGAAACCAAATTTAATCAAAATCGGACAAAAATTATTTAAGTTATCGCGTTCACGGACGAATATATATATATACATGTATACAAATTTGAACGAATGGTGTTTTTGGCCTCTGGGGACATCAAAATTAAAAAGTAAATCGGTCCCGAACCTTGGTCTTACCGTGCCACCTACGGTAATAACTACTTCCCTGTAGGGAAATTCTCTAAAAACAAAAGGCTCGTTGGTTAGATCATTGACTATATAACAGATAACACTACTGGTCAGTGACGTCAGCGCTATGATCGCCCCTTCCCGCCAGAGTGTGCTGATTGCTTGTTCACAACCAAAAATGCATGGGGTTTTCAATCTAGTAGTGTTTATAGTCAATGGTTAGATAGACAGACTAGACAGCTGGAGCTGACAGCTGTTTGATTGATAGGATACAGACGACAGACGAGACAACTAGCCTAGCCGACAACCGACGACGAACCAACAATCAACGACAACTGGAACTGAGAACTGAGTTCTGTTAATTTTGTATTTGTATTTACAGTTTATTACTTTATTTAATTTCAGTTATAGTTTATGTATCTAAAATATTGTTGTGTCTAACCATACTTGCATATCCTTCTCTTATGGTACGATCACAGTGAAGTGAATCACAGAAGAACATTGATAATGGTAAGTTAAGTTGGTTAGGGATAAGTTGGGCCCTATTATGTAGCCCTAGGCATTGAAATAACTTTTTTGTCGTAACAGCTTTTACGTTAAGACAGATGTACCTACCAAAAGCTGACATAAATGCTTTGTGTGTAAAATAGGCTAACAAGTTTAGTTTAGCATATGATCAAATTACCTCGCTTATTGCCAGAACGTTTTACTATGTATAGCAGGAGCATAACTTACATCATAATGCATAGCATACAATGTATAGCATCATCGAATTTCCATACATTCCATACATTACTTACATGTTAGGCCTATGTAAGTAATAATACTTACTTACTGAGACGAGTAAGTAAGTAAGTATCATTACTTACATGGGTCTAGGCCTATTCACACAAGTAAGGGCAGATCCACTGCAATATGTACTTGCTTACTTACTTGATACTTGGTTTTCACCTTTGACCAACAAAGTTGGATTGATTGCGTCTTATTTACATTAAAAATATTAAAAACATTTCTTGCCAGGAGTATAACGGTCGACTAAGCAAACTCTGGCGTAGCGTTGACTTAAATCGCTTTTTGTCTAGAGCACGAACTCCTTTCAGCAGCGTATTAAAAAGCCGAATATTTATTTATTTATTTGTTCACGGTATAACACCATTTTTACAGGGTTGACATTACAGGGTTGACATGCTGATAACTATAATAGCAAGCGAATAGCAAGCGATGGGTAGGAGTTCAGAGTGTGACTGAGTCGGCAGCGGTCAAAGATGAGTCGGTCAAGATAACATGCTCTGCGTGTCCCGTAATCGTGCTGCACGCTTCTAGTCATAAAGGATGATTCATTTTCTGGCTGCACTTTACTTTAGGTCCTACACTCATTCGAATGAAAATATCGATCCACAGCAATATCCTGATAATTAGACCAATTCGTACCTATATACCAAGGCAAGAATGTGGTTCAGATTCCACTAAAAACTGTAGGTCCCTTAGTTGCCATTAGCTGTATGGGCTATTAATTAACAGCTGTGTCTAAGGAATGTCAGCCTTAGTCACTAACAAGACTACAAGATTGGGCCACTCATCCTACACTCATCTCCATTCATACTTGGCTTAAAATACCTACTTTGTATGGTCGCCATTTCATTGAACATTATTAACATGTGAGAGAATTTCTCTCTTCCTTGTGCCCCCAACAAACCTAAAACCTCTTGGGTCCCTGGGCTCGGGCCCAGCGAATACTGTAAGTTAGATAACTAAGAGGTCCTATGTTTACCACAATAAAGGAGTTTCATTTGACTTAATTTCATAAAGCTATGTAGCCTACAAGTAATTTGTATTTAGCTGAACTAAAATAAAGACAAGCCTAACCTGGAAAACATGTATAGCGATGTTTAATCTGTATGAAATAATATCACCACTACAGTATATGAATATTTTGATAAAGTTTTTATTTTGCAAACAAATGAAGAAGTGGGTGAAATCGTAACATAGTCAAAAACCAAACATTTTTAACAAAACAAGCAACAGCTGTTACATAATCAATATTAAAATAAAGTATAGACCAATAAATAAAGTAAAAAAATAAAGTATCAATATTAAAATAAAGTATAGACCAATAAATAAAGAAAAAAAATAAAGTATAGTAGTTTGGTTAGTTAGGTAAGGTTAATCTAACCTAACTAACCAAACGATACATCGAATGAAACAATCGAATAGTAGATATTTTCATTTGGTTGTTTGTGTAGGACCTAAAGTAAATTGCAGCCCATTTTCTTTCAGGAGGGCTAGGATGTTAAGCACATATTGGCTATGTATGGTCAGGATAGCAAGCTCCTTGAAAATTGGCCGACAATGGTAATCGACGATGTTATTATTCGTACATCCTATACATAACTTAAACCACACCAGTACACATCCATTATTCGTATGTTCTTTTGAAGTAGCAGCAGACTTTGGGTGGCAGGGCTATGCCCCCACACCACCAGACCATAGTTTTTATGGCTATGGAAGAAAGAGTGGTTGACCATTATCAGATAGGGACGAGTGATCTGGTTTTAGTTTTCGTACGAGGTATAGAATCCTGCTTAATCTAGCGCATACCTTCTCAATATGCTGACTCCAATTGATTTTTGAATCAATCCAAAAGCCAAGTAGTTTGACTGCCTCATCGTCAGTACCTTTCTTGAGAGTGCAGGTGATGGCTTGAATTTTCTCAACATTTAGTTTGAGCCGGTATCTTGCAAATCACTCCTTGGTCTCATCAAGCAAGTAGGATGCCTTCAGCCTCCAGATCATTTTGGTTTCTGTGCCTCGTAAACAATGTAGTGTCGTCAGCAAAGAGAAGTGTGCGCCTGTATATATATATATATATATATATATATATATATAGGTCATTCATCGTGACGACAAACAGGATGGGTCCTAGCACAGATCCTTGGGGCACACCATTGTGTAGCTCTTTGATTTGAGAGGAGGCTCCTTGTAGTGACACAAGTTGTCTCCTGTTGTGAAGGTAATCAGTTAAGGTTCTATGGGCCGTTCCAGCGATGCCATACTTGGATAGCTTGACTAGGAGTAAGTCATGGGAGACTACGTCAAAAGCCTTGCTGAGGTCGCAAAGGCTGAGATGTACGGAGTCGTTAGCTTCAAAGGCCGCAGAGATGTCCTTAATAAGACTGAGAAGGGTGGAGGTAGCGGAACACCAGGTCCTAAATCCATGTTGTGAGTCACTAAAAAGGTTATTCTTTTCAAAAAAGTTCACCAGTTGTTGCTTCATGACCGCCTCAAAAACTTTGGAGGAAACAGGGAGGATAGAAATCAGTCTGAAGTTTGCGGGTTGCGCTGGATCGCCTTTTTTGAAGATAGGGGGGGGGGGGGTTTGAGCTATTTTCAGATTGTCCGGGAAAACTCCTTCAGATAAACAGTTATTTACTAAAAAGGCAAGAGGTTTAGCTAGGCCTATCTGCTTCATTACTGACTTTAGGACGTGGGTTGAGATTCCATTACCCATGTCCTGGACTATGAGAATCTTTAAAACTAGAGACTAATTTTATATTGTCAGACTCACTCACCTTAAGTCCAGTTAAAAAAGTTAGTGGGGGTTAGATCAGCGAGGTCTTCAATTGTAGTTTTCTGCAACAGAGGTAAGTTGGGGATTATTTCATCTGCTATGCTAGTAAAATAATCGTCGCCAGACGACAATGGGGATATCGGGGCATGACTGGAGGGTCTGTGCTATGTTGTTGAAATTGTGATCTTTGATTTTATCCTCTTATGTTAGGTTGTTCCAATCTTTAGTAACTGCTAAGGACACTTCATCCCACAACTTCTTTTTCAAATTAATATCCGAATAGTCTTTCAATGACTTAAAATATAAAGGTGTCCTCTTCTCAAATTCATCAAATAATTGTTTGACATCCTCATCACGGACACTCATATTTAAGTAATTTTCTAAAAACTTCACACAACAAAAAGATACCAAACACTAGTGACAGTTCTGGCCACGAGTAGCTGAATTCCTGGGGTGAGACTGAGCGACAATTTAGTCGCATGTGTGCGCGTCTACATTTGTTTCAATGGATACCAAACCTGGAACGACAGTCCCGCGACAATTGAGTCGCAGAGCTGTCTCTGACAAATTGGGTCCGGTAACATCAGTTGCAATAGTTGCGCGACTGTCCCTAGACTGTTTCCTTTGTATGCGCACTCCAATTTAAAACAATGGTGAACATTTTAGTAGGGCAACTGTTGCTAGACTCAAATTGCCTGTGTGCGCCTGGCTTAACTGCCACAGACGGTTCCAACATACCACACTGCTGGCCTTTACTACTTCCTTCACCACTTCCTACGTCGTGGGCCTGTTTACCTTCCTTCCCATAGCATTTTAGTATTTTACGTTAATCTAACTGCCCCAAAGCATTCCCACACTCCGCACTCGCACTGCTAGCCTTTAAGACTTCCTTTACCACTGCCTACGTCGTGGACCTGTTTCCCTCCCTTCCCACAGAATTTTAATATTTGAGATACAATAATCTAACTGCCCCAGAGGGTTCCCACACTCTGCATTGCTAGCCTTTACTACTTCTTTCACCACTTCCTACATCATGGACCTGTTTCCCTCCCTTCCCATAGCATTTTAGGATTGCAGATACATTAATATAACTGCCACAATTGTTTCCCACACTCCGCACTTCTCGCCTTTTTACTTCCTTCACCACTTCCTACGTCGTGGACCTGTTTAAGTTTGCCATTTATGAGATGGATCCATTAGAATGTGATTCACCAACAAATTGAAGATATAATGTTGTTTATTTATAACCTCATTTAGCTACGTAAATAAAATCTGATAAATACTTTAGCTAAGAAAGTATGTTTTATCCATGTCTGTACCTATTCGATCAGTGGTCGTTTCCAAATCGCGACTTAAATGTAAACCTAAGACTTTCTCTGTATGATTTTATCAGTTCTCATCATCAGCATTTTTTTCCTTTGTACTGTGTTTAGGTCGTGGCTTGATTTTAACATATGCTGTGATTCTTTGTTTTGTTTACATTTACCTGGTTATTTTGTAACCATCATAGCAACCCATAAGACCAATGTTAAAAATTAAAAACTTTTAGTTACTTAAAAATTATAGCACAGAAAACATAATACTATAACCCAGAATGCCAACCGCATGGTAAAAAGCATTAAGTGTTTTGAGAGAGCTTTGCCTGTCAATCGTAGGCAGCGCCACCAGGGGTTGCCATGCACTCAAAACACTTAATGCTTTTTACCACGCGGTTGGCATTCTGGGTTATAGTAATATGTTTTCTGTGATTATAGGCACTATCAAAAATTGAAATTGGTTACGTCTAAACCATCCAAACATTTGACAAAACAACCTTGGTAAGCTTGGCTAAAATATGTTCAGCCGTTATTGAGATTAAGTGTTATAAAGATTGCATTGAAGTTGATCCCAAAGAGCTTCGCTTCGCTCCGCTCAATCACTCAAAATTATCTTTTGTATATTTTTTGTACATATCTTTTCTGTACTGGTATGAATTTTTACTTTGAAGAGAATAACTTAATAGTCTAAGCCTAGAAAACACTTAAAAATTTATCATAGTAGGCCTAAATGATCTAGGACAAAAAATGAATTGTCCTGCATTCTAGTGGAAATTTAGAGAACAACAACAAAGTTCAGTTCACGGAGAACAAAATATCACACAAATCTTGTGGTCCCGACAAGAGGTCCCTTTTCTGAAAAGCGATTTTTACAACATGCTTCAATAAAACAATTATTTTAATGAAAAGTACCGTGAGTTAAGACAAAAATTTGTGTTGCTTCCAAAGAGGACATTATAAGCTTTCCTTTGATACCAAAATCGTTTCTTAGATACGAAAAACACCGTTTTTATGCATATTTGTAATTTTCAAATCAGTTTTTCTCAAAATGACCCTTTTCTATAACAAAATTTCAAAGTTCTATAACTTTAACAAAAAAAAATCATACATGCGTGGAATTTTCACCAATTGATTTGGAATTTAATAAAGAATGCAAATATATAAATTACTCAAAATTGAAAATTTCCGACAAGAGGTCCCTATTCGCTTTCCACATCACATTTTCTGTATTGAATAGCCAAATAAATTATTTTATTTGTCTTACATTATGTTTTGTTGTAGGGGTTGCTATCAATTTTAAGAAAACTTAAATCTTCTCCAGACAAAGAATTAAGGATTTTACTTCTTGGTTTGGACAATGCTGGAAAAACAACTCTTCTGAAAAAACTTGCTTCTGAAGATGTGACTCATATAACACCGACTCAAGGCTTCAACATAAAATCTGTTCAATCTGATGGATTCAAACTTAATGTTTGGGACATTGGTGGGCAGCGAAAAATCAGACCTTACTGGAGAAATTACTTTGAAAATACAGATGTTCTGGTAAGTTAATTGTGTAGGTAATATTTCAGCACCTTAACTTAGTAGGCCTAAGTGGGGTAAACAATTTATGTTAATAAGTTAAGTTACACCATTGTCAAAATAAATAAGTGTACTAGAGTTTTTGTAGTGGATAGTTTCAGTTTCTATCTCAAGCCCTTCAACCTAAGTATAAGTACATGGACATGGTAGGTACCACTTAACCATAAAACCTTAAAACTGTGTTTGAGCTGTGAATTTTGCTATTAAACCTTAGAAATATAGATACATTATTCTGGTTCTTGATTCCTACAACTGCTGATGCCAGTGATATGATTTTCTGATTTCAGAATATCCCACAATCTTAATGAAATTTTGAATTTTATATTGTACAAGCTTTGCAGGGGGCTTCCACAATCACTTTGGATCCTAATAATTCCTGTCCCTAAAAAATGAAAAAAATATTACAACCAACAATAAGTTGGTAATTATATCGATCTCGAGTGTCAACCCTTCTTATCCGGCCACCACGGGACCAAGCCCCTGGCCGGATAACAATTCGGCCGGATAAACCAACCTTATATGAAAATTACAATTTAGGGCCTATACCTAATAATAATATATCTAATCTATATATGCAAGTTCAAATCGTCAAGTCTGTTTTGGGATTATTTTTTAGAAGAACTAGCTGACCCGGCGAACTTCGTATCGCCTAAGTTATAGGTTTCCCCTAAGACAGACCGATGGAAAGAAAGTACCGTTACGTTTAATTTTCAAGATGATCTCGTTCGCATCGCTCAATCACGTCCTGGTTGAAGTTCGTTCGCTACGCTCACTCACCTTTGGGTTGAAGTTCGTTCGCTACGCTCACTCACCTTTGGGTTGGAGCTCGTTCGCTACGCTCACTCGCCTCCAGGTTGAAGTTCGTTCAGGTTGGAGCTCGTTCGCTGCGCTCACTTGCCTTCAGGTTAGCTCGTTCGCTACGCTCACTCGCCTCCAGATTGAAGTTCGTTCGCTACGCTCACTCACCTTTTGGTTGCAAATTGGCTGTTGTCATAAATGTAAAAGAAATAATAGTCCTGCACCCTGTTGGTAATCCTTGTAATTTTAATGCTATTGAACATCATAGAACAGAACCAACTTGTTTAATTGAAACAGCTGTTAAGATTCATTAATTCCATTTCTCATAAGGTTAACATGGGAAACTCCAGAGCCACTGGGGCGGAGCCCTTTTAAGAATTTCGAAACGGGAAATAGTTTACGTCCGATTCGCATACCTACAGAATTTACACACCAAATTTCATAACGATCGGTGAAGTCGTTCTGGAGGAGTTTGCAGACAAACACTGTGACACGAGAATTTTATATATTAGATAAACATGTTTGTAAAAAGAAAAAAAAACTTTCTAGGTTAAAGTTGCGAAGCAATGAACATACAACTAGGTATACGCTCATTCTTCCCGCATGGGGACGAAACAAAGATAGTGAATAAGGGGAATTAGGCTGAGCTGGCTGTCTATATGTCCTATATGCCTAAATAGGCCTATATTCGACGCCACGATCATAACACTTAGACCTGCTGTCACTTGGTTAACAGTACACTCAGGCCACGGGCAAAAACCTGTTAAACAGGGATAATTTACATTTTAATACGCTGCAATTGTGTATGTAAATAATATATTCTTTTTTTTATATTTTTGATAACCTTTTATAGTGTCGCATATTTGCGATGCCCGGTTTATAGCGAAGACAATAGTGAAAATTATTATACTTTTCTTGAAATAGTCCAAACCCCGCATATATGCGACAGTTCATTTTTGTATATGTTTTGAGGTGAAAGTAAGTAAAAAAACAGATTATTCAAGAACAGTTTATAATTGAACAAATATAAAAGCTACATATGATAATGCAGCATACATACAGCATACATACATACAGTGATGTAGAAAAGTAAAGACCAGTTTTTCCAACTATCATATGACGTAATTTATAATCATATCCACAGACCAAGCGACACAGTTGTGCGTCAGACATCCCTGTTGACCACTGCAGAGAATTCAGTGCCTTCAAATCGACCGTTACAAAGATATACGCCTTTTGATAACATTGGAACACCGACGCAAATATTTGTTGTCAATCTATTTTAATGTGTCTAGTCATCGCGAGGGCAGTCTGTGGGTAGAAACCGGCTGTCGCATATTTGCGTCACTGGTCTATGTGAATGGAAAATTTGGTACTATTGCAGTAGTGAACGTGTTTAGAAATAGCGGAGTTCAAAGAACAAATTTTGTGTTAGCGTATTAATTATATAGATTGTGCAGGGCAAACTCCCCATCAATGGATATGAACACATATTATTAAATAAATTAATTTAAGCTTTTTGTACATTTTAGTGATGGTTCCATGAAATTTGGCATGATTGGTAAAGACGTCAATGGCTCAGATATTGTACTCACATCTTGCCTCTTGTTACCTCCTTAGCATAGTCCTTCCTGCTATCAGAAAATCAGTTTTATAGACTGTAGTTTAGAAAGGAGTTATTGGAAATGTATTTGATATACAGTAAATAAATAGGCTAGTTTTTTGTAATGTTATAATTATGATTTTAACTCTTTTTTTTAGATTTATGTGATTGATAGTTCTGACCGCAAACGCTTGGACGAAACTGGTTATGAACTTTCAGAATTGTTGATGGATGAAAAGTTGGTCGGAGTTCCATTGTTGGTCTATGCCAACAAACAAGATTTGTTACATGCAGCCTCTGCCTCAGACATTGCTCAAGGTCTGGCTCTGCACATGATAAAGGACCGACCCTGGCAGATACAAGCTTGTAGTGCTACAGCTGGAGAAGGAGTCAAGGTATTCTATCTTGGTTTTAAGATATTGTATCATTCTTATCTGTAGTTCAGTTTGATGGCTGACAAGCACGGGTGTCCATCAAAATGGGGAACCAAGGGGCTGAGAATTCCGGGAAGTTTGTGTAAATTTGTTGAATCGAGAACTATGCAGGATTTTTTAATCTGAAGTCACAGCAAAAGTGTTAAACCCCTTCCGAGGTCAAGGCAAAATCAAGAGCATCTTCTGCGGTCACAGCAAGATCAAAACTGGACTCAGCTATCTTTGTCAGGAACAGCTGGTCTTAGTCACTAACAAAGATACAAGTGAGATCTTCTATATGGCCACACCTCATCTTTCACTCATATTTGGGTTTATATAGACATATAGGTGGCGTCCCCATCTCAAATTATAATGATTAAGAAAATTTTTTGCCGTCACAGCCAAATCATGAACATAGTCCGTGATTTCGGCGAAACCCGAAACATCTTCCGCGGTTGCATAAAAATAAAAAAAAATTTCTGCAGTCACGGCAAAATTAAGAGCATCTTCAGTAGTCACGGTGAAATCAACGTCTACCGTGGTCACAAGAACATCATTCCTGGTCTTAGCAAAATCATGCACATCTTCCAAGGTTAAGAAATAATCTTGGGCATCTTCCCCAGTCATGGGACATCAACAATTAAAATATGCACATAGTGGCGTCCTCATCTTAAATAATTGATAATTGATAATTGATAACGTCTCTCACAATCACGGTAAAATCATCAATTTTTCGATCGCGCATCATTTGTATACGCTTTCCGCAGTAGCAGATATTTGTGCTCGGCTCGACTCGATCCAAGCTTGGCTCGATAATCGTTTTCTATCCGTACGAATCACTTGTTTTAACCGTGCATACCTGAAAATATGGATTATCCGCAGACCCCAAGTAAAACGTACCTTGGGGACTAGGAATGAAAAAATCAGTGAATTTTGTCTAGTCGTTCTGCCCAAAATAACAGATAACCTATAAGAAACAGTCCTCACTATGCCTCTGGACACAGTAGTAAGTATTAAAATTTTAACAACAATGCAACAAATATCCATTGACAAAGCAAATTTAAAAAAGCGTAAAATTAGAATCAAACGTTTTGATCTAAATTTTAATTATTTCCCAGAAGTACCCCAACTAGGACCACTATTTTTACTGAGTTAACTCCTATGTAAAAGCCAGATGGACGCTCATGCTGAAAAGATATTAATTGGCTGCATTTTCTGTAATCTGGACTATTGGGACTGCACCAGTCCAGGTAGCTGCAGTTGTGAGAAATGTTTAATAACTATTTGTAGTAGCGGTTAAGGTGTCTAGCTTGGTGATGGGTTTTCACAATTGAAATTACTGGAATCTTCACATGAAAACAGCATGCACTTTCTTCACCCTCATAACTGGTCAGGCACTTTACTTTAGTTATCAATGTTCTAAGTGTAGCCTACCTACTCTGTGTAGGCCAACATTTTATCAAAGCACTAAAGCTGGCCATACGTAACCGTGGCTGGGATACGTATGCTACCAGTCTGAGAAAATTTCCTATAGGTCTTCTTTTTCTATGACCATAGTTTAAAAAATATTCTTCATCCTATTTCTAGAACTTGTGATTAACCATTTTTATTCGTTGCAGGATGGAATGGAATGGGTGATACGGAATGTAGGGAAAAAGAAATAAAACGATACCTGAAGTGCCTGAATAAATGATCTACTACCGACGAATCTGAAGAGAAAATTAGTGCCTTCTCTTGGGTAAATTGTGAGAAACATGACGACAAGTAGGCCTATTTGATTCACAAAACAGATATAGGTAATACTATTTCTATTTCTTTACAAATTTTTTATACCAAAGATAAATTATTGTTATATTATGTTTTCTAGTCAACTACATTTAGCTTGGTTTTGTAATTATTTTATATTAAAGTCCAGTCTGCTTTTATAGACTTAACTTAATGATGCTTATGAATCGTATATTTTTGATTTTTGACCATCATACGCTGCCGTTTGTACTCTATATTTATATGTAGATATATATATATATATATAAATTATCTGGGTAAGTTAATCGAATGGCTACTGAACTCCCTTCATATCTGAAGGTCGCTGGTTTGATTCCAAGTGAGATTGTTGCCAAATCCAGATGCCATTTGTCATTGGGCTATCAATTAATGATGTTGTCTAATTACAGGTCTAGGTTGGATAGTTACTAGACCAGGGTTTGGACTGTTCCCTTATACTGAACGTGAAATAAATGCCACTGGCGTAGAAAGACACAATTTAAAAAAAATTATAATTACAGTACAAACCTGCTAATCTATCACATACGTGACCGAGACCATGGTCTGAACAATAAAAAGGTCATACTATTCAAAAGCATATTAAAAGACCATATTAATTTCTTGAATGACATTTATTTAAAATAATACAGTATGTGTAGAACAATATACTCTTAAAACTTTTAAATGTTGCATTATTTGTGTTCAAAAGTATATTTATTTTACCATAGTTGACATAAATACAGTAAAAGTTATATTTTTTGCCTCACTACCAGCAATAAATATACAAGATAAGTAAAATACAACTCATACAGACATTTTAAACACTGATAATTGTTTAACCTAATAATAATTTCTTATTTCACCACTTTGAAAACATAGAATACTCATACTTGTTTTTAGATGTATCATGCAGCAGATTTGAGCTTAACTCTCTTGACTTATCAATTATTTCATGTGGGATCTCACAACATTGTCTATTGTATTGTAATGCATTCTGTGATAATGGAATAATTGGTAAATGATCACAGTAATCTTTACAATGGCAGTCCTCAATTGGAGTGATTCACATTCAAACTAATGGAATATTAGCATTATTGCAGTGGGTGAGCCTATTATGTGCCGGGGAGAGGTAGTTAGCTTCATCGACACCCTGTAGCCTGTAGCGTTCTTGTAATTTCATTACAAAACTGACTGGTAAATCTATTGTACACTAGCTGACTTTACTCGTGGCCCTATTCCAGCTGACTTCAACTGTTCCTTTCTGTAAACGATTTCGGGTCCATAAGAGTATAAAAAGCAACTGCTTACCGTGAAGTGTGACGGAAATTTGAATAGCAGCCAAATTGAGCTATAATGCAGAAAATAAGGAGTTTTACTGTATCAAGGGGGGAAAATAATTTTAGTAGAATAAAAAGACAAATATTTGTAATGTTTGTTGTCATCGATAGAATTTAAACAATACACATACAGGCAAACTATACTTTCCATTTTTATGAGTAGTTTTCAAGTACCAAGAGAAAACAGATTCAGGCTGTCAATGAGATTGCTGTTTTCATGTAACAAGTTCTTAAATTTAGTAGAATAGACAGTTGTACAAAAACTAATGGTCACAGCACAGCTGTTGTGAAATCTTTTAGTTGGGTATTTTAAATTTTACTGCTATGGGGTCTCTATATATTCATTAAAATGGCAACTGAAATAAGATGCAGAGACTAGTCTTGCTGACCTCGTCCTGTAATGAATGAATAACTAAAAGTAAAATGGTTTTTTTTCAATTACAAACAGCCAATGACAATGCTGCATCTGTGATGTAAACAGTGGTTCAGGCATCACTGACTAAGATATTCTAAATATCCATGTTGTTATGAAATTCTTTCCTCATTCTTGTTCAAAAAAAAAAAAAACACTCTAAAACTAATTTTAAAAGTGATAAGAAATTTGTTGTGCTTTGAGCTTTATTACGTTTTAATGGTTTTATCTAAAACTTTTGCTATTAGTAGAACTTCAACTATCTGAATCAAAAGGGACCGAACCACTTTCGGATAGTGTGATTTTTGCCGAATTGCGGAGTATATTATAGAAAGTAAGTCAAGTCCAGCCGAGCTTTAACTATTGCGATCGCAGAACCTGTATGCGAAGATTTCACAATTGAAAAATTCACGCTATTGCTGCAATTGCGGAGGGCGATGAAGATTTTTGTGACCACGGGAGATGTTCAGGATTTTTCCGCAATCATGGCTTCTCTTTAATTATTAATAATGATTATTATTACTGTAGTTTTTAAAATTCTTTCTGTAAGCAGTTCGAATAATTGGTGATTCGGATATTTGGAGTTCAGATAAATTTAGCTCTACTCTACTATACTTGATACTTAAACTGTTCTAATTATCCTCATGTGTTTCACATTATAACATTGAATTAAAAATACACACTGTATTTGGGATCTCAACAATTTATTATTAATTATTAATTTATATGTCTTTCACGCTAACTTCACTATATGTATTTTAGGCAGGTAGGTAGGTAGGCCTACCTATATTATACACTATTTTTCTAGTCAGTTAATTTGCTTCAATCCATCCTATGTAGTAGCCTATTAGAATATGAATACAGCTGGATAAGACTGTTGTTTATTAAACATTGATCTCATCAGTTAAGACATTTTATGGCACAGTTATAATTAGTACTGTGATAGTCTAAAGCACAAAAACACTCACCAGACAATATTAAGTAATTAAATATATAATTGTGATATAGCAAATTTTAAGTAAAATGACAAGCACGTTTTAGTTGTGTATCATGTATAACCAGTCCGTCCTAAAAAAGTAAATAAAGATATTTTGGTGGTTTTTTCTTTTGTAACTAACTACCTACCCTTTTTCTATATATTTTTAATTTAATTGATAACATAGATTAAACCAGATCTTTATTATTGTTGAAATGGTAGTTTGTTATTGTCAGGCCTGGTGTGAGAGCCCCTGACTGCTCAGGTAGAAGTTGATTGGATGGGTTCTTTGTGAGTTGCGCCTCAAATCAGGCATTTTAAACTCAACTGAAACATTGCCATTTTATGATCAACAACCACTGGGAGTGTAAGCGTCAATAAGGTATACCTCCTGCAGCACAGGATGCAGATAGAGTGAATTGTATAATATTTGTGTATGCTTAACAGTCCTTATTGCATACAGTACTCTCTACTTATTATTTAAGTTGTATCGCACATTACTTGGTTGGCCGCCTTGATATATAAGAAAAATAAGTATGGTCCAGGACCTGACTAGGGTTCTGTGTGCATGTCGCGTATAGAGAATTTTGCTTTTGCATTTCAATATAGGTGTCTTAGGAAGTGTTTTCCACTCGGGTGTCAAGTTCGCACCTGGTACGTTTTCGAGCTATGACGTCATCAAAATGGCGGCCATTGATTTTTTTAAATCGTATATTTCGCAAACTATTTGTCGGATTGGAATGAACTTTTTTTTGTTTGAAAGATAATTTTAAATGCTACCTGTTGTAAATTTACACATTTGTTGTATGTTTCGTACATTCTTCGTAATTTTGCAAAAACCTGTATTTTTAAATATTTTTGTGTTATTTTTGTTTGTAACGTTTTATTGATACAATTTATCAAAAACCACCAATGAAAAAAGTTGTAGAACGTTTAAAAATCTTTACAAAAATACCGAATTCGATATGTTTTACTCAAAAGATTACGTCAAGAAACTAGATAAATCTCATAAAAACACCAATTTTGGCGCAAAAACGCCTATTAGTCCGGCATCTAGGGGAGTTCGCAAGTCTTATAAAGACAGTTTTACCATTCAATGTTGATGTATGTGTCTAAATAAGTGTTTTCAACTCGGGTGTCACGTCTGCACCCACTGCAGTTTCCGGTTATGACGTCATTAAAATGGCGGAAAGGGCTATATTAAAAATAACTATATTTTACATACCATGTATCGGATCGGAATGAACATTTTTTTGTTTGAAAGATAAGTTTACATGCTATCTTTCTTACATTTACACTTTTGTTTTATGTTAAGTACATTTTTCGTAATTTTGCAAAAACCTATATTTTTAAACATTTTTGTGTTATTTTTGTCGATAACGTTTTATTGATACAATATATCAGAAATAACTTAGAGACAAAGTTGTAGCACGTTAAAAGGGCTTTACAAAAATACCAAATTCGATATGCTTTACTCAAAGGATCACGTCAAGAAACTAGAAAAATCGTACAAAACAACCTAATTCGGCGCAAAAACGCATATAAATCCGACATCGATGGCTGTGTTCGAGTCATATATAGACAGTTTTACCATTCAATGTAAAGATCTAAAGATGTATGTGATGTATGTGTCTAAAGAAGTGTTTTCAACTTGGGTGTCACGTCTGGACCCACTGCAGTTTCCGGTTATGATGTCTTTAAAATTGCTACATGTTACGATTTCACCAACTATTTTACTTAAAATAAGACACCTTCTTTTATGCAAGTAAAAGCACAACAAATCAATGTAATTAGTCCATAAGAATGTTTCCACTATATAAATACACCCGGTGAAGCAATCCTGTCGACTAAGCGATTTGCCTGGATTGATTTTCAATTAATCTATTAAATTAACATTGTTTAAGAATACCTAGGTTTGCTGCTTAAGGGAAACTAATAAAGTGGATTTTTTATTAAAATATTAATAGATTAGTACTGGATAAATAAATCTGCCAATTTTGATCAAAATATATCCATAAACAAGCCAACTACTACAGTTACAATATTGTCCATAAGAATAACATTGGAGTTTTAAACGAAAAATGTTTTTATTTTCTCAGTAACCAATAACCGTTCAAAAACACTTTTACCGTTCAAAAAACATAGGTACTCTTAACAATGTTAATTTAATATATTAATTGAAAATCAATCCAGGCACTTAAAAACACTTCTTTAGACACATACATCAACATTGAATGGTAAAACTGTCTATATATGACTCGAACACAGCCATCGATGTCGGATTTATATGCGTTTTTGCGCCGAATTAGGTTGTTTTGTACGATTTTTCTAGTTTCTTGACGTGATCCTTTGAGTAAAGCATATCGAATTTGGTATTTTTGTAAAGCCCTTTTAACGTGCTACAACTTTGTCTCTAAGTTATTTCTGATATATTGTATCAATAAAACGTTATCGACAAAAATAACACAAAAATGTTTAAAAATATAGGTTTTTGCAGAATTACGAAATATGTACTAAACATAAAACAAAAGTGTAAATGTAAGAAAGATAGCATGTAAACTTATCTTTCAAACAAAAAAATTTTCATTCCGATCCGATACATGGTATGTAAAATATAGTTACTTTTAATATAGCCCTTTCCGCCATTTTAATGACGTCATAACCGGAAACTGCAGTGGGTGCAGACGTGACACCCGAGTTGAAAACACTTATTTAGACACATACATCAACATTGAATGGTAAAACTGTCTTTATAAGACTTGCGAACTGCCCTAGATGCCGGACTAATAGGCGTTTTTGCGCCAAAATTGGTATTTTAATGAGATTTATCTAGTTTCTTGACGTAATCTTTTGAGTAAAACATATCGAATTTGGTATTTTTGTAAAGATTTTTAAACGTTCTACAACTTTTTTCATTGGTGGTTTTTGATAAATTGTATCAATAAAACGTTACAAACAAAAATAACACAAAAATATTTAAAAATACAGGTTTTTGCAAAATTACGAAGAATGTACTAAACATACAACAAATGTGTAAATTTAAAACAGGTAGCATTTAAAATTATCTTTCAAACAACAAAAAGTTCATTCCGATCCGACAAATAGTTTGTGAAATATACGATTTAAAAAAATCAATGGTCGCCATTTTGATTGCGTCATAGCTCGAAAACGTACCACGTGCGAACTTGACACCCGAGTGGAAAACACTTCCTAAGACACCTATATTGAAATGCAAAAGCAAAATTCTCTATACACGACATGCACACAGAACCCTAGTCAGGTCCTGGACTAGTAGCAGCCATCTCTTGGTGGAAATCATTTTTTAGCGTTAGCTGTAGCTACGCTACTTTTAAGATTTTGTAGCTTTCGCGCTACTTTTTTTTAGCGTTAGCTGTAGCTACACTACTTTTAAGATTTTGTAGCTTTGTAGCTAGCTACATTTTAGCGAATTTCCCATATAGGGAATAAGCTATTACCGTAGTACTCATGGTAAGACCTGGACCCGGGACCGATTTTTTTTTTCGTTTTGAGGTCCCTAGAGGCCAAAAACACCATCCGTTCAAATTCATATATATATATATATATTTATATATATATTTATATATTAATTTATATATATATTTATATATATATATATATATATATATTTATATATATATTTATATATATATTTATATATATATTTATATATATATATATATATATGTGTCCGTTAGCGCGATAACTCGAGCAAAAATGATCCGATATTGATGAAATTTGGTACAAACGTGTAAACCTGCGTTTATTCGAACGAGTTCGCGAACCAGCATGATCGGACCATGGGAACGGGGGTTTATGGGGGCTTATATGGGGTAAAAATGGGTTTTTCCCATTTTTGACCCAAAAAACATAAAATTTTGCAATTTCTTTCCAAACAATTTTGTAGAGCTTAAAAAAAACAAATAATTTAGTATGTTGAAGCGTTATAATGCGCGTAATGGTTACGGAGAAAATTCCAAAAAATTGTAAATTTTAAATTCTCATGTTATTCTTATGGAGAAATAAGTAAACTGTTGTAGTTTGCTTGTTTATTAACATGTTTTGCCCAAATTTGGAAAATGTTTTTATTTATTACTAACTATTAACATTTTACATAAAAAAACACTTTTACCCTCCCTGTTGCAGGAAACCTAAGTATGTGTTAAACTGATTCTAAATAGGGAATAAATGTGATATTTTTAAGGAGATATTTTAGTGTAAATCCAATCAGGCAAATGGAAATTCGCTTAGTCTGCAGGTTTGCTGCGGCGGGGGTATTTTAAGTAGTTGTAGGGGAATTTTTACTACTTTTCTCGCTACATTAACATTGATAGAGATAGTGATTTTTATCACAACCTTACGTGAAACAACCTCTTTCAAACTGAGATTTTCAAGAAAATTAGGCCTACTTTCTTGGCTTTATACAGCTGGGTGCAGCCGTTTCATTACCTATTACAACATTGCATGGACATGGAGGTCTCATCTCCTTCATTTACTACTCTATGATTACTGTCAGATAAAATAAAATCGCTAGATGCAGACAACGTTTAAACGTTACCGCTGACAAGAGAAGCATTTGAATGCTTTCAAGTGATTGACAGGGAAATTATATAGTTATCAAATTAGTTTCTTTATTAATCGATAGTTTCAACTTGGGTTTTAATGGATCGAGAAAGCTCTATCATCCTTTGCTTCAGCTGTTGATTGTGGTTCATGATCACAATCCATTCCTTGGTTGCATGACGTGACGAAGATTTTTCAAAGGTTTACCAAATTAAGGAAGAGGAAATTACCTGATGAGATTTAAGATATGCCTAGACTACATAATAATTGTTACGAAAAAATCTCCATATAACATGAAACTTAAATTGAAAAAATAGCATAGTTTGCTCCTGATAACAGCTCTTGTCAAGGACTATTCCGTGGCAATGCTATTGGGTTAATACGAATATCAAGTTCAGTTAATAGGAATATATCTGTTTAGTCGTCGTAAGAACAAGCCTACTATAGCCAACTTGTTACAATTAAGCCAAGTAGGCCTAAATGCTATTTTTACTTTACAATTAAAAAGCCGATTTCAGAATGAGTTGCTGAATCAACGTTGTTAAAGCACAATTTGACCTATGCATAGTGACAAAGGACGATTTCTTGACATTGAAAAGTGTTATTCATAGAACAAGCAACATATCACTATGGTTAAAAGTTATAGCAATGTCGTTTTTAACATTAAAAATAAAGAAAGGCAATAAACTCCAATTTCAGTAGGCTAGGATCTGTAACACAAAAAAGTATTTTTTAATAAACGTTTTACAGTTTTATTGTTTTTAATAGTTGATAAAAGACATCTACAAATGAATGTGCATTAAAGAAATAAAATGGGCTTTGAAAATATAGTTTGGTTGTATGTCCTTTGAACTTAATGAAATTTACATATAAGATGCTTAAAAATAATTCAATATTTAAATAAAAAATAAGTACCAAATATGATAAAAGACCCAACTAACTTATTTTGGTTGTGTTATTGTAATGTTAGGTTTATGTAGTTGCAATTAATTTACATTTACATAATGTGCGTGGAATAAAAGTAACATCTTAGGAAAAGTAGCTAGAATTTTAGCTGTAGTTGTAGCTTGCTACTCTTTCGGAACTGTAGCTAAGCTACTTTTTTGGAAATGTAGCAGTAGTTGTAGCTAGCTACATTTTTTTTTAGTTAGGTACATTTTAAAAGTAGCTTCCCCAACACTGCCCCCACCGCAGCAAACCTGAAGACTAAGTGAATTTCAATCGGTCTAATTGGATTCATACTACAATATTTTCCATAAACAATACATATTTATTTCACATTTAAATAACATTTGATTTAACGAGTAACAAATCGGGGGTTGGTGCAATGGGGTGGGTGAAAAGTGTTTTTCCACCTAATGTTAATAATTTAAGATAAAATAAATAAATTTGCCAAATTTGATTAAAATATATCCACAAACAAGCAAACGACATAACACAGTTTACTTAATTTCCATAATCAAAGAATTGTTTAGCCTCCGGATTACTGTATTATACTTAAAATGGTTTACAATACCTTTAGTAATCCTTTGTTGCTGTTTTAGCAACTAGTTTCTGTTCTTCTGAACGATCATCAGGCCTCAAGGTGTCAGATAATCACTTCATTCGAAGGTCGTTAACAAACAGAGTTCAATAAATAAAACATATACGACACACGATAACGTAGAACGGATACACGTTTACAAAGAACTCGAAACACACGAAGGGACATTGACAAAATTGAATGTGACTGGGCTGAAGTAACATGTGTCCAGTGGAAAACTAGTATTGTCCATCCATTGCCTAAAACATCTAATCCTACTGACTTCAGTGAGCTTAGACCTATATCAGTTTTCTTAGCGATATCAAAATTATTGGAAAAATTAGCAATAAAACAAGTTCTAGAACATTATTATATGAACGCTCAATAATTAAGAACAAATGCTTCCAAAATTACAGTCAGGGCTTAGAATAAACCACAGTACCTGCACTGCATTAGTGAATATGTTTGTAGACTTGTTTGAGGCAAGGGATCGGGGCAGGTGTAGCTCTGTAGTAATGCTTGACTATTCACAGGCAATTGATTCCATAAGCCACAGTTTACTCCCTCGCTAAATTGAGACATCTTATGGTTTTATGGGTAATGCAATTGCTTGGATGCAGTCATACCTTGGAAAAAAGAGAACAGGTGACTAGAGTGGGAGCTGATGTTACACTTTCCCTTGACAAAGTCAGGGGAGTGCCGCAGGGAAGCTGTCTGGTTCCCATTTTATTCACCCTGTTCACTACAGACCTATCCAGTTGCGTACACTTCTGCAATGTGCACGCTTATGCAGATGACTGTCAGATTCATTTATCCTATTATGTCAATTCAATTTACCAAGCTGTTCTGGCAAACGTCAGTGAGCGGTCTATGAAACATGGTCTAAATTTAATTTTACCTCATGTTAAATTTCTAAAAATGTAAATTCACGCAGAGAAAACCCCTTTAGTATGATTTATGCAATTTCAGATTTATACCGTCCGATAGTTGGTTACTTTGACTGTGCTAAACTTCATGTGGATTGTTTCAGCCGTTCAGGAGTATGTAGAAAAACAAAAGCAGTAGAGTTCCGCTAAAAAATTCCCATGTTAATTTTATGGAGGATAGGTAAATTGTTGTAGCTAACTATGGATAGGCCTATATTTCAATCAAATTTAGTAAATTTATTTATTTCAAACCAAGCTATTAACATTTGAATAAAAAACACACTTTCTGGCCTTCCTTTCCTTGTATAGCAGCAAACCTAAGTACTCACTAAACTGATAAGAGCCATATTTCTTTATAAAAGCAAAATATTATGGGAGGTCTTATGTTAGATATCTGTATAAAAGTAAATAATACGTAATTTTCTATTTGTTGATTAGTTTAAATACTGGTGCAGTATAACAAACAATAATTATAGGTTATGTCATTGTCCGAATGGCTACTATTTTATACGCTTATATACCGATTTACAAGTACAGAGATTAAAGGCTGTCTCAACATAAGATGTGGCAGACTACCTGACCAAGAGGGTGGAACAGTACAATGTCACTCCTGATCCTTCAAGTAAATCCAATTTACCAGGCATCAATGAATACTCCCCACTTAAAAAAGTGGAAATATTACCAATAATTAAAATATAATAAATTCGTTATATCCGAAAATAATATTTTTAAAGTTCCCATAAAAACAAATATTTTCATGTTTGTCACATGCAAATCGGTCGATTTTAAGTATTAAAACAAATTTTGATGGTAATGAATGATGACCCTAAATCTTGCGGAATGAGTGGAAACCTCGATTGCAGGCTTTTAAAAATTGATTTAAAAAATGTAAGTTTCCTAGTCCAACACTGGTTCAAGGTCTAGTCCCTGGTTATCAAAACTCAAGTACAACTTAATACACACAGATTCTCTGGTTCCTGACCTGGTTTATTGTCAAAATGTTTAATGAGGTTTTCCTGACCCTAAACATCTATGTACTTGTAATTTATGTTTAAATAAACAACCTGTTTAATACATATTTCCTCTAGACTGTAACTTTAACTCAACGGTAATCACATTCCACACAAAATATTGATTTTAATGATAATAAGAACCATTAAAATAAAAATGGTTCAAAATTGTAAGCCTATCTCTTTTTGAAAATAAATGGTTGGAAGGAATAAACAAAATGTACAAAATACTAATAATTTATTATTAATAAATAAATATTATTCTCCATTATCTTTAGTTTCTAGAAAATACATAAATTCTAAACCTTAATTCACTATATTTACAAAGAAAGAACTATTATATACATTTTTAACTTAGATTAATTTTAAATACTGTTCAATAGAGACAATAAGATAATGGAAAATAATGTAGTATTAAAAATTCAATTTACAGGAGAGTCATGATGGTGGGGTCAGAGGTCAGTTTACAGTTCATTGTGGACATATTGCTCTGTTGTTACTCTTTGGTCTTCTTCATGAAACTGACTGCAGTTAGCTGGATACTTCACCTGCAAACATAGAATGTATTATTTTGTTTGTTTGTTTGTATTTCTCTATGAAGATAGAATTAGAATCTATCTATGTATATAATACGTGAAGCCGTTTTTTGTTAACGCAACTCCTCCCTTATTTGTGGACCAATTTCAACGTTTAAGGTGTCAAAAGATTCGTCTCAATATGAAGTTTTGCAATAAGGTTTTAGAATTTTAAAATTCCTACTCTGAAGGGCGTGAGACCCTCTCAAAGGTCGGGTTTTCCCCATAAGAAATACATAGGAGAAATTTAAAAACCAAAAACAGCTGTTTATAAAAAGAAACTCATTAGCTTTTTGGGAGTAAATATTAATGTTTGAAATATTCAGTAGGTTAAGACAAAGTTAAACCGGTAATCAGTTTTGTATGAAGAACAGAAAATGCCTCAAGTTCAAAGAAGAAATATTGAAAACGTGAGTAGGAGACAATTAATAATAAGATATCTTATGCGTATGAGGAGAGTAGAAATAGAGAGGCCTGGTCTAACAGACACCCATCCAGATACACATTCACTTGGTGATATGTATAATATTTGCCAGTTCTGCTATACATCGATGGTTCTGCTCAGCAACTCACTTTGGAAGTGAAAAAATGTACGAAGCACATAGTGTTGTCACGGTGGTAAAATAAACTTGCCTAATGTCAGATCAAATGAATGCATGCAAGAAATGTTTACTTCTGACAATGACAAAACAAGATATTTCAAAACATTTAGTATTAACTATATTTAATGCCTTGGCTATGATTAGTTCAAGTAGTAAGATTATACCAAATCTTGGCGGACCTTATATTTTTATTGTAAACTTTTGTATTACTCGCTCTACTTCAATTGAGAAAAAACACAAATGGATTGTTTACTTCTAGGTTATGTTTCCAGTTCCTCGGGAAAACTTATACAAGGTCTACTGACTGAATTTACCAACACAATCCAGACATTTCAAGTCAAAAATAAGAAGTTTGCTACAACAACTCATTTGCTATTGAAAGTTTTAGTGGCAATATTAGACCAAACATAAGTGAAGGAATTAGTGTTTATGTATTCAACGATCAAGTTGTTACGGTCAAGTTTATTTTTATGATTTAGGAAAGGCAAATAATATACGCTGTTCAAAAAGAGAATATGAAAATTGCTATCCAAATCGTATAGCTACAAGAGTTATCCAACCTATTTCGACAAATGAATCCATACTTTCAAAACGTTGGGACAGGTATTTAGAGAAACTCCAATGAAAAACGTGAGACTGACAGACAACACGTTGAAATATGTTAACCAACTTTCAATGGTGTTGCTGCTTTAGCTAATTCAAAGCAGATTATGACAGTTAAGTTGACAAAAAATGGACCACATGAAATAGTTGATACCACCTAACTTTTCAGGGTTCTCCACGAAGAAAATTTGTTTGATTAGGGGGATGTCTCAAAGAAATAAAATGACCCAACTTAAATTACTAAACACAGGTTATCAGTAGGCCTAAGGCAACAGTTTTCTTTAATTCTCAATGCTGGAAAAACTTAGTTGCAACATGTTAACTCGAATTGAAGCAGATTGTTTAGCATTCATTAGAAGTTATCAATTAAAACTGAGAGCAGAAATAATGTAGGTGAACCTTGACGACGCAAACAGAGATATTTAAAATTAGTTTCTAACAAGTGTTTAAACAACTCTAAGATGTAGCTACAATTACTCAAATTTAAGCATAAAGTTTTCCTCGGCGTTATGTTTCATACTATGCGGCTCACTGAGCCGCACGGGTTCTCTAGTATACTGTATTGTTGAAAAAACCTGTTATCGCAAAATGACAACATACAGTAAAATGTAGGGTAAAAATACAAAACATTATTATCCACACGGTTTAGAGCTATTGGAAATTTACTGTTCAAACTTTTTTACATCATTATAACCTCAATTTCCAAAATTGGAAATTGAATTTACATTGTTTGATTTCATTTTGCTAACCACAACTCTAGAATACATTTTTTCCATAAACTGAATTCTAAGTAAGATTGTTATTAAATAATGCATCTTCAGGATTACACAATCTGATATGTGTCCAACCACATGCCTGTAGTACTTTAAAAGTTGAATTTGTAATAATAGTTTTGAGTTAGAGTTATCGGTATATGATTTCCTTAAACTTTAATACTCAAAATGAATACTCGTTTTAGAAAACAATGAAAAGCCCAACACATTATAATATAACTGTTTGAATCAATGAAAAATTATACCAACATGTAAACCGTATGAAGTTATAAAAAATGACGGTGAAGATAAACTTTGAATCGGCAAAGCCAGATGTGCTGTGCATATAGGCCTACACAATAAAAAAATCTTTTAGAACTAACCCTTAACTCTTGTATACTACCTAACCTTTCATTATGAGCATTTTTTAAAAACTATGACTGTTTAAGATAGGCTATTTATCTAATATTTGACTGATTTGCAAATAACCTAACTAGTGTCAAAGTAGAAAGTACAGTACGAATTCAAAAATAAAATTGCGCAATCATTGATCTCTACCTATCCATGAAGTGATCATGTGCTTAACTAGGAAGGATTTTGATTACTTATTTTCTATGAATAAGTTACTATCACAAAAGATACCGTACAAAATTAATAATGAGGAGCTATGGAAAGTGTTTATAGTTCTGGAGTGATTGACAAAGAATTTTCATGTCCTACAATTTTTTTTAGAAGAGGCAGGGGATAGAAGAGAATGGGAGGCCAGAATACCAGAATACCAATGTTTCAGTATCCACGGAAATAAGATAAGGTGTTTATATAGTCAATGGTGAAAGTATGCAATGAAGGTGGTATGTAGGTACTGTACTGAAAACCAGTTTGTGAATCGGCCGCCAATCTCACCTCAAGGCTTATCAAATCGTCACAATTGCTGTTTTATTATAACATATTTGGATTTAAAATGCATATCGTATATAAGGGAATCAAGTGACATTTGTTTACCAGATGATTATCCGCATTAAAACTGCTAGAATTTGTTTTTATGCAAGTTTTGAATTATATTCAGTTATAATTGACTACCAGAATCCGAGTCCCTTATGTAGGACGGGCCAACAGTTTGTCTCTTTAAAAAAATAATAAATATGTTACTCACCTGACAATTATGATCCTCAACTGCAGCATTATACAGCTTCCAGAACGGAGTGCCGGTCTGCCCTGACAGGAACCAGGATGCCACCAAACTACGGAATACATTTTAGTTTAATATTACCTACGTAATAAGAATCTCCTAGGTTGTTTCTTGAAATAACACATTTCAATCAAATTTCCTACTTATTGGGATCCCAAATAAAATAAACGTATCAGCAATCTGATACATACTTTCTACCATTAGCTTGTGAACAAGCTTTATCGTAATTGGTGGGGGTAACAATGATATTTGATGGTGAAACTAACAAAAGCTGCAAACAATTTCAAACCACAATAATTTTTACAGCAATGGGGATTGTACACTCTTATTAAGAGTTAAAAGGAGGATAAGTTTTAAACTTGAATCAAAATCGGTCAAGCTTATTTTTAAATCTGATTTTGTTTTTTTCTCATGAGAAAATCACATACATTGCAATACATTTTTAACCCCTAGTTTACAGCGATGAGGTTTCTACCATTTGTTAAGAGTTAAAAGGTCTAAAGAATACTAAATTTCAAACAAAATCGTTCAGACAGCTTTTTAAGGCTGATATTTTTGTAATTTTCATGTATTATTATTGGAAAATCACCATTAAAAATCAAATGTAAAAACGCCTGTAGATATCATGGTGGTCTGTAGCACTTCACACATACACACATACATAACTCAGAAAACTACTCTTTTTAGGTTCAGGGAGATCCAAAATGGATATATTCCACCCAAAACTCACCCTCAAAGATTTTGACAAAAACAAAACAATACTTTCCATAGAGGGAGAGAACTACTGAGAAAGTAGAAATCTGAGCAATGAGCAAGTCCAAAATGTATATTCAATAATATGGAAAGTAGTATAATAACACTTGAAACATATTATATTTACACTTATACTGTTTTAACATGGGAGTAAATGTATAAAAGACAGTAGTGGTGATCGATTTCAATTGGACTAATTATCATCAGGCCCAATAGGCGAATTTAAACCAATAGAACTCTAACTTCTTAGTTCTTTTAACTTTTTTTACCTAATAAAGCAATTTTTTTGTTAACTATTGCCTACGAAACTTATCTCTAAAGAAACAGGTAATTGCCACCATTTGCCTCTAGGCTTACCCGATAAAAACATAATTCAAATTTTACACAGTGGCGGCGATAAGAGCCCACGGACCCCCCCCCCGCAAGTTTGTTCGCCGGGCCCCCCTCTCCTAATAATCTTAAAAACATTATTACATGTATTTCCACCTAAACTTGCACTTAAGCTTGGCACGGCATCTCCCGAGGCACTGAGGCCTCATCATCGTCTTCCATGATCGCGGCAAAATCGTGAATACTTCCCGTAGTCATGGAAGAAACATTATCATAGTCTACCGTGATTGCAACCAAACATATGACATTATCATGTAACAACATCATCGTCTCCCACGTTCACGGCCCAATCCCTAATATCTCCCACGACCCGTGTTGACGGAAAAATAATTTTTTTTGCAATCGCGGCAAAATCATAAATATATCGCTCGCGGAAAAATAAATGTCAATAACGTCTTCCGCAATCCGGCAATGGTGGAAAAATATTGAAATATTGAAATTAATATTTTTCCTGCGGCCACGGAGACATCTTCATCATCACCTGCAGGGAAATTTTCTCTTAGATATCCGCGATCAAGGCATAAGCGTAGGCCTAATCTTGCAATTTCGTGAGAGTGATCCTCGCGGACATAAAGCTTTTACTTTTAATCGGGCATTATTGTATTGAGAACTGAGAAAATCGGCTTGAGCTCGACTTTCTGACTTTGTGATTGATCTCTCAAGCTTGTAGGCCAGTCATTTCTTGGCTTGAATATCAACATTATATAAAAATCAACAGTTTCCAAAGCAACGCGATTTTGAACCGATCTGATTTGGCTCGAGGCCTATAGGTAAGTAACATTTTTTACCTGACTAACCTAATAAACTAATCTAATGTGAGAAGGAAACAAATCTAAAGCGCAGCCTCCTAATAGTGAGGAATAAAATTAAATGATAATCCTTCTTTAGCCTCAATGAAAGAATGGAATTATTTATTAGCTAGTGCCCTAGCCACCTAGATTATTTCGCCGATTTGATCGTAAAAAATATGTTCATTTAGTTGAACCAGCATAGAGAGCCCTCTCTGGTGTGACCCGCCGGGGGCTAGGAGGATTAACATTATTGTTTTATGCTCTTAGGCCAGGGGGTGGGGGCCACATTGGTTCTAAATACGTCCCTATTATATATAGCGCCTTCTCACAGTCCACGAGGACAGTTGATGCAACCTGCATGACTGATGACAATTCTCTTACTTAGTGGTTGCTAGAGAATTTATATCGATCAGCCAAGTAATACAGTAGTGTCAGCCATAGATGTATATAACCAGGTGTCAGTTAAGCTGTTGTAAACTACTTGTCCTAGTGCTTGTACTGGGTTTAAAAAATTTTTGTCATAAGAACATATGGTATTTCTCATATAAATATTGTTTTGATAGGGGGCCTGTGTGGCTGAGCCTGTCACAATATTGCGGGCCCGTGTCCCGGTAAAATTTGCTGAAAAATCCCGGTCAAGTCTCACGGACCCCCCTAGCCCCCCGCACCGTATGTAAACAATGCCACAGAGGCACACACAGGATACTCCCAATAATATACAATGTCTCCCAATGTTGGCTGAAGATGACTCGTCTCCCCTCCACACATAAATATACTTTCTACGCAAAGTTTTTTCCCCTTCACCGTCTAATTTCATATATCCACACATAACTTTTATTCCTACCAATGATATATTTTTCAAAAGTGTGGCGGATCATAATATATTGCAGAGAGGAGATTTATGTGTTGGCAATCTCAGTTTCACTGTATTACCCACCTGGACAGTTTGGTGACTCCGGGTTTGAGTCCAGCTTGTCCCTCTGTGCCGGGAGGGAACCGGTTGAGTTGACACACCAAATACCTGTCACAGCTGGGCACTCGCAGAGTAAAGCGGTACGCTCGCCATACCCTCAGTACTGGCTCCAGCACCTCTCCGTTGAGTGTCTCGGCCAGCTTACCCTCAATGTCCTGCGTACTCAGGTGAGATAGTCCCAAGCCCTTGCTCTGTCCTAGTCTGAACACATCCTGCCAACAAACATTGAACATTGGGATTATGATGGCTTCTACTTGTGGACTACCCAGTCATATAATGATTCAATGTAGATAATCAACAAACGAATAACAATAACCCATACTTTCAAAAACCCTTATATTGGGTCTAGTGGGAATAACTCTGATATTTTATGGGTAAAATCACATAAATTGCAATAATTTTTTAACCATAATTTTTACAGCATAGGGGGATTGTACCGTACCACCTTTAGAGTTTTAAGGCTATAACGTTACTAAATTTGAATCAAAATAGTTTTTCATCAGATTTTACCGTTATTTTATGGGAAAATTACCATTAAAAATAAAAATCTCTGAAAATGCCTGAAGATACCATTGATTAGCACCCTCCTACCAAAATCGGACCACATGTGTAGTCTGTTGCTCTGCACACATCCACACACACGCAAAGCCATCACCTCAAAAACCACTTATATATATTCAGTGGGACCCAAAAGGGATATTTCCACCCAAAACTCAAACTCTAAAATGTTGACAAAAACAACACTTCTCCATATGTATGAGTGAGAAAGTAAATACAAGTTATCAGCAATCTGACCTGACATATACTTTCCCCATAAGTATTAACAACCCTTTTGGGTAAGTGGTGGGAGTAATTACAAATCATGCTTTGAGCCGTAATTTTACAGCAATGGTTTTGTTGAATTTAAAGTGCTACCGTATAACATACCAGATTTTACCATTATTTTATGAAAAAATTGCCAAGAAAAATCTAAATTAATTTAAAAAGGAATAAATGCGTAGCAATTCCATGGATTAGACGTATACCAAAAGTCCGAACCGAAAAACCGAACCACAGACAGTTAACAGCTCTATATACACTCTATTTTAAAATACTATTAAAAATACTTCATTCCTAATTATTTCTATGCTGATGATAGTTTAAAATGTCGCTGGATGGTAGCTGCTATACTCTCTTTTAATTGTAAATTTCCCATGTAACTTGTAGAGCTTATTCAAAATTAAACCCTCTGTGGAATCGTGTTTGTTTAGTAACCTTTTCCTCTAGAATTGTTTAAACTATATTATTATTATTTTTTATATAATTTTTGAGGAAAACTTACAAACAAAAAATATGTTGGGTAAGTTCCTTTTTTATTTGTTTTTCTAGTGCTGGGAGTAAACCATAGGAATTATGGAGAGTTTAGGGAAATCATAACTTCCGGTAGATATGCAAAGGCTATAGTACTGTGGATTTTTTATTAACCCCAGCATCAGAGTTCATGTCAACAAATATCATCCATCATTTACCATATTCATTGACACAGTTCTATTACAATCTATTTGAAAATAATTTGCTCATAATACTCGCCCAATTACATTACTTTACCCTAAAATTTCACCGTAAAAGGCATTTTACCCTCGGAGGAGACCGTATTTAGTTTTCCAAAATAGTTAAAGTGCAACTGTGAAAATCTAAACATATGTATGTACCTGAATGTAGGCTACTGCTGGCTTGATGTATACTGCAGAGTTAACTTTGAGCCCAAACTGTCTCTTGAACACAGCATTGGCCAGGAGACTGAGACTCTCTGTGGGCCTGGCAGGGTCAAACAGCACTGCCTTGGAGTAGCCTTGCGCCTTGAGGAACCCATTACCCATGAACTGGATGGTGGCCAAGTACCTGTCAAACAAAGCAATTTGTGTTTCAAAACTGTACACCTCCAAAAGAAAACAAACACAAATTAGGATCTGAATTATTTTAAATACGTTTAAGTTTAAACTAAACTTTGCGAGAATCGTTAGAAAACATATTCATCCGAGAAATAAGAGGTGGGTCGTAGCTCAAAGGGCTGTGAATGCAAGTGATGACAAGGGTTTTGTGTCCTGGACTGGCTGGACTCCTGGTGCCACAAAGCCACAGCCACAGCCTTCACTAACAATATTTATCTGTACTTGTCTTGTAATGCATCAGTCAACTGTACTGTGGGCATTGTTTATGCTGTCCACCCCACCATTGACTATATAAAGTAAATTATTCCACTCATAGAGTCCTAGGGTAAATTCACTATAGGTTAAGCAGATAGAAATATTTGAAAATCGCAAAAGTTTGATGGTTGATCGATTTGCATAAAAGTTAGGAAGATCCCGTGTATATAAAGAGGATTTTACTACGTCAGCAAATCAATTCAATTTGCTTGTAGGTAGTAATCAAAAGATAACTAATGGACAAGTAGTATAACTTGTTTAAAGTAATGCTACTTTAAAACCTCCAAGCATGTTATGTAACACCTCCGATTCCGATTTTACCATTAAATCAACCATTAAGTACCCATCTATAATTTCGCTATTGATCATTGAGTGAGTTGTGCAATTAGTTGTAATGGATGGTGAATAGCGGATATATTTATATCGCATATTAGACGTGTGTTAACGATAACGGTAGCTTAAGGTCTAGTCGGGTCAGTGGCCTTGCCGCTTGCCGCCGCGTGCTTGAGCCGTTATTATTTGGACAGTCACCAAACTGAGACGCAAACAAGAAGCTGAAGACTAGAGGCGACGTGTGAAGTTAAGTTACATAGTGATCTTCTAATTGAAATCAGCTTACTAGTAAACTGGGATCAGGATCATTATATCAAGCGTGTGCCTCCGTAATTTTAAGTGAAAACTGAACGATTAATCGATCATTAACAACCTTGTTCCTCGTAAAGTATAAGCAAACCACAGAGCACAGAATAGAATTATTTATGGTGCAAACACAATATTTTTAATTCAGCCTACTGCAGTCTACATAGGCTAAATGACATTGTATTCAATTAGTTGTACATTGCATGCACATGCAACTAAATTTAAAATGCTATTAAATATCTTTATCATTTTACACATTAACATATTTAGGTACATTTAAATTTGTTGTGAAAATGCATACGTGATTTCCTTGTTAATACGACAATATTTCCAAAAAGATAAGAACGGTAAATAAGTTAAGTTAAAACCGATTGTATCATAACCATTCTGGTTATTAGTTTTAAGATTTTTTTAAATTTTACGTTTCGTTTTTACAGCATGATTATGCATCTTTTAGTACGGAATAAAGAGTAGAATAGTGTAGGCCTATACTCATATTCTATTACTATGCTTTTAATCAGAAAAAATCCGTATCATTGGGCATAATTAAGCTTTTAGCAAACCTCAAGATAAATGTAAGTTATAATACAGATGTTTAGATAGAGTCGTTTTTTTTTACATCCGCCCACATTCTTAAGATCGTCTTATCCAGTTTCACAAAAAATACAGAAATGTGACACACCTTGTAGGCCCTCCCCGCCCTAGATGACGCCACCCGGACATCCGAATACCCGGTACACCTCAGTGTGATTAAACCTCCAGCTAAGCTACTCGTATACCTTAGAAGTAATATTTACGTCACAATAATAATAATAGCCTACAGCATTTACTATGTTCAGAAGCCTAATGCTCCCAAAATAAATCCGTGAAATGTTTAAGTAATCATAAATAAAGTAAAAACAGTCCTATAAGGTGATACATTAGAAGAAAAGGTTAAAATAACTTTAACAGGAACCCTCGATGTATACTATGCATTTGTCCAATCAATACTTCAATATGGAATTATAGTATGGAGAGGATCTAGTAGTAATATTTTAAAGCCATTGTTTGTCATACTACTGAGGTAAAATTATAATGTGTAATGGTTTAATAAGTCCATATTTAGAGTACAGCCTTAGAAAATACTCTAAGTTTATAGTAGGCCTACTTAAGTGCGATATCGTATAATGAGTGTGTGAATGAGTACTACGACAACAGAGACGGTTAGTTCACAATCAAGTGTATTCAATAAGAAAGCATCAGCGAGACGTAACTCTGACCCATTCAACTCTGCATGTTAGATGACTCAAACAACTTATAAGATAGAGCAGGAATTACAAAGCCGCATTGAAGTACATTGAGTACATTTGCCGACAAAAAGCGCAAACGAGATTTACCCGTGGGCCCCTCTGGGCTAGATGCGCAAACGAGAAAACCTTTCTACCTGACAGCTGGGGCTGGTGCGCATAAGAGATCCGCCTCAATTACTTCGGACTCGATCTTGGTATTTATGGTTTCGGTTCATTTGGATTACCCTGCACATACATTAGTTGCAGTCAAATCTGCAGATTTTAGATCACGAATAGAATTATCGAGTCCTGAATCTCGAACTCAAATGCATCATTTAGTACAACATAATTATCTAAGTAATGTAATGTTTTTTACTGTTAGCTAAGAATTATGCCTACAGCAAACGTAGTGCTCATCTCCCGCAATTGCGAATTCTTGACTTGATTCGACAAAGTGAAATGCCCCCATCGCAGAAAAAACTATAGAAAGAGTGACGTTCATTTTCCTGATTGGATTTTGACTAAAATATTTACTATACATTTATATACATATTTGAACGAATAGTGTTTTTGGCCTCTGCGGACATCAATTGAAAAGTAAATAGGGCTCGGGCTGACGTCTACCGTGTCACTAATTTCCAATAGGGGAATTCGCTGGACAAACTGTGATCAGAGGCGATTTAATCAGTAATTTAAACTTAACTTCATCTCTGTGCTTCTATTACGGACGATCGGCTATGGACATACCGCGTGTAGATGCGGGACTATAACGAAGCGTCTGCACCTATTCCTCTAGTTTTACACTGATTAGTCTGAAAACCTATCACCACAATTTTTAAATATGGTGCATTTGAAAACAATCAAATATACTAGAGTATACTATACTAATAAAATACTAACATTTTTAACTTTTTTACTGCACCTTAAAACGATTACATTATTTCTTCCATTCTTCAACATAACTATGTGTTAACCCCCCCCCCCCTCACCCCTGTATATGGTCCAGGCTACGCCATTGATGATTACCTAATTAATGAATTGAAAACAATTCGTTGCTAATATAATTGTTTGGTATTGGAGCATGAAACGACTCAGTTTCCCTTCATTGTGCCAGTTCCACTACTTGACTCCGTTGTAAAGCAAACAAGGTGATTCTGGGTCACTCTTTTTACTTATTGTCAATGTCACGTCACGGGATCTAATGGTTCATCACTAGCAATTCTAAGGTTATTGGAGATCTATTTAGTTTCTTGTGGTGGCAATACATGCCAAACAAACGGTGATTCAACATAAGAACGACCTTCCAGAACATAATTCTTCTTGCAAGAATTAATTTTAATTCGGCTTAGCCATTACCGACGGGCTATTTTATCTGTCAAATATCTTAATATTATGTACTAACCGTTAAATAATCTTGGCAGTTGATGCTAATTATACGTTTAAAGGAGATTGCAAGGCGTTTACTCAGAGACAGGCTGCTTTAAAGTGCAGTAGGAACTACCCTACAGCCTGCATCGCAAAACGTGTAATCTCAAAAGCTATGTTATTTGCAAGTTGCAAGAATCGGTTTCTTATATCATATCTATCAATAAGTCTAGCGCCACGTCATTCGACTCATTCAATGTACCAAAGTACCACCACCACCACCACCACAACCACGACCACCACTGAGACTGAAAGACTGAACTGAACTAACCTGGACTGAGTCGCTGGGTCCGCCACGTGTTTCACCCATTCCGCCACAAAGCTGGTCAGACTGCGGATCCACCGCCGTCGAAAGCTGTGGTTCTCCATAGACTCGAAGATGCGGTCCATCTGGAAGTGGCCATCAGTGTCCGTGAACAGCTTGAAGATGGCCTCGAGGCCACTGTTGGTCCACAGGGTCCTGCCCAGCTCGGACTCCTTGAAGTGGTCCCAGTAGATCATGGCTGTGTTGAGGAAGGGAGGTAACAGGGAGGTGGCCTTCTCGTGTCTGCGGTGCTCCTCGACATCCTCAGTCTCGTCGTCGTGGTGCGCGTGTCCCGTCTGCAGCAGAGCTGGTAGCAGGTTCATCAACCCCTCCAGGGGACTTCCCTGACTCCCGCCTCCGCCCTGGGACATGAAGCTCGCCGCGATGTCCATCATCGACTCCCAGTTCACCTCCGGACTCGCCGCCGGGGCCGCAGGTTTTCCGTCATCACCTCTCTTCCTTCCGCTCGACCGCACCTAGTTACAAAACCAATCTTTGTTTTCAAAGGGTTTGTGGTAACGTGTTTTCCTACTTAGTAAACTACAGTACCAGTACATAAAAACAAGGTCCAAACATTACCAACTCAACTCGTTAAGTACTCAGTGATTGATATTGACGCTTCCAAACCTAAACCTATTCACTGTCTTCCAAGTTTCACAATTTTCTCACCCAAAGGAGAGGAAAACACATGTACACAATCTTGTAAGTTTCAATTAGTTAAAGCGCTAAAGGTCGGCAAACCGGCGACAAGCACTTTTGAGTTTCAAAGTATTTATATTCCTTCCCTAGTAACAAGGTTTATAATAAACCCTTGGCGTATGTGCACATTCGACGTACCTGTCGAGAGGGAGGGATTGGTCAACGCGGTCATTAAACTATCTGTTGTCTATGGATAGAGAAAGTTGCCACCTTAACCCTTGACCCCGGAGTCGTACCTAGACTGAACACTGACGTACACAAAGAGGAAGTTACCTTGTCTCTGTCTCAACCTTAACTTGTGTCACCACAAAAACATCGCATTGAATACAATAGTATCTCCGCTCTCGCAACGGCCTCATTAAGTAGGTATCTGAATCACCATTAATTTAGTGATGATAAATAATAAAACTTGTTAATGAATAATTTTATATATGTATGTCCATTGATTAATCTTTTATATTTCTTCTGTATAATTTATTTGTGAAGTTTAATTATCACATACTAGCAACAGTGCCCGTTGTTGTTAAATACAACGGTCTCTAGTAAAATAATGGTTATGAAATCCATACACCACATAACTCACTAATATTAATGGTACAGATTAAGCACATAACATAATAAGAACAACACACTTAACATAAGGAACACACTTTAAACACAAATGCAAATTGTTAACAACAACATTCAATAAAAAAAAAATCAATTAGATAACAATATAACAATAAGCTAACACACGTTAACAAGATTTTTTTTCACTTCAATTAAAGATGTATTCCAACAGTTCTAATTACATTACCCTATATTTTTTTTGTAAACACCTTAGTGAAATACCAGCTTTCATTTGAGCTATTGATTATTAAGATTGGACTACCTAAAGCACACTGCTGAATCACGAATCAACAATAATTACAATCGTTTTAGTACTTTTCTGCAATCAATGATACGTAACTCTATTTTTATTTAAGTTATTTTATATGTCTTGGTCTTAATACTTCAAATGCTTTCACTTGAGATATTGATGCATTAAGCACCAGCAATACCAGCATGTTAAAGATGATTTATTTTTGGGTCATAATTAGGTTAAATATGTGTATCTAAATAAATGAAAATACCTAAACAATCCTAAGTGTAGGCCTACACTTTTACGGCATTGATTTTACTGTTCTTAGAAAGGAGTTTCTGAAGCTTATTTATCACCTGATAAAAGTTGTTTCATGTTAAAGTTATCTTGCGATAGAGTATCTGTTGTAAAATCGCTGTAACATGAAACGTTACTGCAGTAAAAGTAACATAAATTTGATCATTTCTCTTTGTCGCACCTTGAATTTAAAATAAATCACCTTAGTCTATAATCCAGTGACAGGCAGTAGTACACACAAGGTCAAAACTACTTTTGTCTGTTGACAAAAATACCAAATCATTTCCATTTTTGTTAAGTCTTTGAAGCTCAAAAGATGTAAAATTAAGCGTAAAATAAGTTAAAACTATAATATTATAACTTGCTTAATTTTTACTACCTGAAGCTCTGATTTCAACATCTCATGATGTAGATTGTTATGTTTATATTTACGAATTATAATAGCTCTCAAGTTGTTTAACAACAGAAAAAGATGTGAGAGAGTACAATAAAAGCTATAAATATGAGTATATTATTTTTTAATTATTTTTAATCAAGGAATATATATACATATTTCAGAGTTTGGCTAATTTTAAACGCGTTGATGTTGATATTTATATGAGCAATTAATTGATTAATTATTGATTTAATATTATGTCCCTTAGTATGGTTTCCGTTTCCCTTAGTTCCATCCGTATGTTCAAGTCGAAAAGTAGATACTGTACAGTAAATTGAAAAACTTAAACATTTGAAAAACGATAAATTGAACTATAAGTACTGTATTTTTTTGTAGTAGGACCTATTTGATCATCCAGGTGGCAATAAAATATTTGATGTTTAAAAAACTCATTAAACAAAGTATCAAATTCTATTTACAAAACGCATTTACGATCTCGTGGGTTGTCTTGTGACGTTTAGCGTTGAATATATAACCTACCCTATTCTGGCGACACTCATCCTACACTCATCTCCATTCATACTTGGCTTAAAATACCTACTTTGTATGGTCGCCATTTCATCGAAAAGTAAAAAAAAATATTCAAACGCGTTTGACTAGGTCACAATAACTGGTACAACAAAACAGCAATGGATGCGAGGGTCTAGGTCACGGACACATGGCGTGCGTGTGTTTGTGTGTATTGAGGGGGGGGGTTATAGCATATACCCATACAGTTATGTATAGAAAGACATCTATTTTATATAATTGATATCATAAAATTCAAAAAAATAAAAGATAAATCAATCAGTAGTTATAGGTAATGAATTGAATTGTAAGCAGTAAGTTGCAGAGAGTTTTAGTCGAGCAAATAAATGTATATTCAGTCGTTTGAACAGCATTTTCGGATATGAGTTTGAACGCAAGTTTAGTTTTACATTTATTTTTTGCATTTTTACAGGAACCTTTTTTTTAATGTCAAGCTATGCAAAAAACGAGTAGACGTGTATCGTTGAAAATTGATGATTAGTCTTGTCGAGGTACATGCAAAGTATGTCCTCGATTGATTGGTCCGGAATGTTATTGGGTTGAAAGCTTAATGAGTTTTTCACTTTGATCGAATGTTCATGTGTGGAATGTTGTACCAAGTTGGTTATATGAATCCCTTTTGTGTTTCAAAGTTTGGAACATTATAGTTAAGTATTTTTATTTCCCTCTATAGTTAAGTATCTTATCACCTCTCCCACTTTTTGGACGGTTGTAATAGCTATGACGGTTGTAAAGCACCAGTAGAATACACCGCAGCGCAGACGTGAGCTTGCATAGCTAAAGCTAAGACATGAACCACTAACCTCATTGTTGTTGTGGTCGACGTTGCTGTTCTCCTCTGTCTGCGTCTGCGCCATGTTCGAGAACATCTCCACCATCTGTCCCAGCAGCTGGGGGTTGCTGCCTTGGGCTGTGGTGAGGATGTTGCCGAGGCCGCTGAGGAGGTCGCCTCCTAGTTGTTTGCCTCCTTCACTCTGCAGCAGAGACTGTACCACCGTCCCCAGCCCTGCAGCTGCAGCACCTCCTTCGCCTCCGTGGTCTTTGGTGTAGTCCTGCAGCAGACTCTTGGCTGCCTCCACGAAGGGGTTTGTTTCTTCCTCCTCGTTCTGTCTCGTGAATGACGAGATGATGAGCACGCAGAAGAGCGCCTTGTAGTCGATGATCGCCATGCTCTGACCGCCACCGCCGCCGTCTGCCTAGTGCCTAGTGCCTACTGACTGAGACTGCAGGCTTGCTGCTCCCCGGCTCCGGCAGTAACGGGACTGTAGGTGACGTGTCGGGTCAACGCTCGCCGACTCGCCCCTGCTAGCCTACTTCTGGGGTGTGGTGCAAAAACTCCAGAATGGGCAAACACCTATTGTGGCCCATTCAGTTTTATGTTTATTCCGTTATTTTTTTTAGTAGTAAACAACACATTTTTGTTTTATTGCGGTAGTTTTTAACTGAGTACACTATTATATTTTGTTTATATTTTCGTTTACAGTTTTGCTATTCGCCAACAACATACTTGAATAGATTTTAGTGTTTCTATTCATCAAAATGAATAGTACATACGTAACTTAGGTTTACTTGTATAAATAAGTGTTTTTTCGTGTTAGTTATATAAATTTATTACTTGAAAAGTTAATTAAAAAAAAAAAAACATCTATATCATGTCCTGTGATACTGTTCCGTAAATTGAAAATGAGAACTTATGATTGGCTAATGAGAAGTATCTTGACTATACAGTATTATATAAGTCCGTCCGCTGTTCTATTCTCGTTTGATGGTGGGACCTGGGACCATGTCATGTCATAAGTGCAATGAAATGTCCATGGTAATGAAAGTTGACTCAAGGAATTTTTACGTTGAGGGTTTAAATTTATACCTTTATAACTCACAACCTTGGGGCAATTGAAACCAAAAAATTATTGCCAAGCTATGTTGACCTTTGTGTCAGGCAACAAACGTCGAGTTCGCTCTCGATAAAAGTACACCTATAAATCTAAGCAACCATAATTACAATCTCCAACACAATTGTAGCTCCCCTTGACAATCTGTACGAGCCTATAATCACATATGTAAAACTATAAACGAAGGAATATAATTTCATAAGACTCAATTATGTTAGAAAATGTTGGAAGTACACATTGTTATTGCAACTTATAATGTTCGACATGTTAATATACCATACGTATGATACTATCATAGACAAAAAGAATTAAATACTATTCAACTACGAAAAGATACATATGCACAATGCATTGAGACACATGTTACATATCTCACCTCATTGTTTGTGTGTTGATAACAGTTGAATGCGTCTCGGGTTGATATGAACCATGATTCAACTACTGTACAAGAAAGCGTATAAATTGCACAAAATCTTTTGAAGCCTGGTTATGCATATACGTTTAGCTGTGTATGCATATACAGTAGAACCTCGATAACTTAACTTTGAAAATACACGTCATGGGAAGTCTGGTTGGGTAAAGTCAAGGCTGAAACTTTACAAAGCTTGTTCAATTTCTAGATTTACTTTTCCCCAGGCGAGTGTGTTGTGTGCTGCTGCTGTGAAGGTGAGAAGGCAGACCAGCAGTGTTGCTATTTGAACTTGACCAGTATCGAGGTCAAGGACACATCGAGCTCCACGCTCCTCTCACCGTTACTCCAACTGCTAACTGCTATTGGCCTACAGTAGTTGTTTTTGTTTTGTTAAAAAAAATTGAAGCAAAACTTTTTTTATCTGCACTAATAACAATAATTTGAAACACTAGTAAGTATGATTTCGAAAGTTGAGCGCTATCTTCTTACTACATGAGTTCCACTTTTCATTCTGTATCACCATGCTGTAAAAATGTTAATTAAAAAATGTTAATATTAAAATGTAAATTATTTATTGCATCATCCTTAACATTTAATCCTAAGTCAGTGATACAAATCTTAATCTAGGTCTTCTCTTTCTGGACCCTTGAATACGCTTTGTGTAAATTTTAAAATGGTGACAAATAGTGGAGTCGTAATTCGCCCTTTATGCCAATAAGATTTTGATATTACCAGGGCCAGTTAATGACAACGGTCTTGGGTGTTCATAAACTAACCATCGCAGTTATAGTTGGTCGGAATCTGAATGTACCGTTCTTCTCCTCCCCCGCCCCACACTCACCTCTCTAATTACACACCTCTAAATTGCAAATACAGGAGAATCAACACACAGTATAACAAAAAATTTGAAAGAGGTTTCTTTAGATAAGTTGGTTCAAACTTTTTTCCTCTAATATTTCAATTTTAGTTTACTAACTACTAATAATGGTTCAAAGCTGGTCATTAATGTTTCCGTTTCCGGTCATCAGTTTTGAAATTGACAATACATTTCGATCTACCTATTTATACTGTATTTATATAAATTGTTAGAACAACTTTGAGCCATTCTAGTGGTAATATACAGTGATTAGAATAATCAGTACGAGTGTGATTGAGACAGTCCCGTAAATTACGAAGCTATGGTCATGGTCAAATATATACGGATGATAGGAACTCGCGACAGAAAAAAGTGCACAATCTTTTTCCTACGACCATCACATCAACTTTGAGCTATTCTAATGGTAATATTCAATGTGAAGAATATGCAGTGTTAGTTAGTATCATTGAGGCAGTCCCATAAGTTACGAAGCTGTAGGCAAATCTATATACGGTTTTTGAGCACGCGCGACAGGAAAAAGTGCACAATCTTTTACTAAGCCCATCACACCAACTTTGAGCCATTCTAATCGTAATATACAATGTGTAAGAATGATTGCATTTTATTCTATCGTATATTTTTGTATATTATTGCTAATAAGTTACCCTAATACCCGACCTTCGTACGGGGTTGGCGTATAAGTATAACACGCTTACTGCAGTTATACAGTACCGTACTGTGCTTTGCGTTTGCAATGGGAGATGAGGGGACATGTTTTAAGAAGATTTGGTTTACTATAATTTACGGTATACTATTAGTAAAGCACACCTACCATAGCCATAATGTAGTTAATGCGTGATTGAACTTCAAACAAACAAACACACAGACTTTCACATTTATTTATATTAGTATGATATTTTTAAAATATTTATCTGCCCCGGGACTTTGAAAGCGTAAAGTATGGTCTAAAATTGTTCTAAGTTAATGTTTTAGGCTTATGGCATTTTCTTGTGTAATAAAAAAAGAAACGGGAAAGGTTACAACTAATTTACTTGTTAAACAACTGAGGATAATGCATTATTTGTTGAAATAGATTATTAGGCAATGAACTGCAACAAGGGGTTTGAGGGCTTTTAAATAAATTTAGATGAATATTCTGCTTTCACTGGAGTGATCCAAAAAGTATTAAAACTTACAATTTTCAACAAACAATTATTGCCATATTTAGCAGAGTTAACACTCTGGAATGATACAAATTATTCCTTGAAAAAAAAAACATAACCAAAGCAAACAAAGAGACTGTTTTTTACCCAAAATATATATAGTTTACAGGGATGCCTATCCTGACAAATAGAAAATTTTATTCTGAGTTTGTTTAATTATTACAATAATTAATTTGTTTTACATTTGAGCTTTTTAGGGACTTATGTTCCTACAATCCACTGGTAAATTATTGTTACAACTAAACATCCCATATAGTAGAACAAAAATGCCAAGTAGGCCTATAGCGTAGATGGGGCGATAATGAATTGGTTCATTATATTAATGATTTTGTATTTAATTCAGCGAGTCTACGCCCCTGGATTTAACTTTCCTCCCGCCGCATGGCAACACTGCTAGGTAAATGCAGTGATGTAGTTAGTATTTTGGAACTAAATTTCCCGTTCAAGTCCGGCTTCTGACGCGATGGCAAAACTATAATAATTAATTATACTGTTTTGATTTTGATTTGAAGTCCGGCTCAAGTTATGGGAAAGATTAAGTATACTTGTAGAGGTAGAAGTTTTATAAACATTCATGGACATTGGTCAGTGAAGCTGAAGCACATTCTATCTTTATCAGTCACTGTTGCTGCACTAAAACTATATCAAGTTTCGAGACACAATCCTGCACGGAACTTTAAAAAAATAATCTATAAGTATAAAAGAGGATGTTTGTATATATATATATATATATATATGTTTGGCAGTGATAAACTCAGACACCGCTGAACCGATTGCCACGAAACTTGGTACATACGTGTAGAATTTCATGGAATAGGTGTATACACCATCAATTTCGTGATCCGTCCAATCGGCTCCGCCCCAGTGGCTCTGGAGTTTCCCATGTTAACCTTATGAGGAATGGAATTAATGAATCTTAACAGCTGTTTCAATTAAACAAGTTGGTTCTGTTCTATGATGTTCAAAAGCATTAAAGTTACAAGGATTACCAACAGGGTGCAGCACTATTATTTCATTTACATTTATGACAACAGCTAATTTGCAACCAAAAGGTGAGTGAGCATAGCGAACGAACTTCAACCTGGAGGCGAGTTAGCGTAGTGAACGAGCTAACCTGAAGGCAAGTGAGCGCAGCGAACGAGCTCCAACCTAAAGGTGAGTGAGCGTAGCGAACGAACTTCAACCAGGACGTGATGGAGCCGAATAGAAAGACCAAAAATATTGTCTACCCACTAGCATTAATATAAGAGCAATAATAAAGAATCGGTTATACTTTGTACTATATGTGTTTCATTAGTTGTCATACGTATTTTAATTTAGTTATAAGCACTTCATATACAATAAGACAATTAAACGTTACGGTACTTAAATTATAAATAGTCAAAGGCAAGACAACGTCTGCCAGGTTCAGCTAGTATATATATATATATAAATTTACCGGGTGTTTCAAAATGAATGACCCGGTTTTAACGCTTTATAACTTTTATCTTTTATACTATTAAACTTCCCGCTATAAAATACACATCAAACGAAAAAGCAACTCAAAGAGTTTATGCCTTCCAAAAGACACATTATTTAACAAAATAGATCCAGTAGAACTGTAGATTTAATTGTACAAAGTTAAAAAGTAATCTCCAACTTTTTTACCACTAGAAATTTGGAGGTTGCTTGACGTTTTTGCAAATAACTTTTAGGAGGAAATCGACCAAAGTGGAAGGTAATATTCCGAAAGAGAATAAAATTGCCTACAATATACTATTATGCATTTCTTGAAAATACTCAATAAATGTAGCCTAAATTTGCCTTAAAATAAAAAGTGTGAAATTTAATGTTTGCTATGTCTATTGTCTACATTGAAGACTGGGATTTTCAATTTTTTTTTAATT